AACTGTTTCCATAGAAAACCTGTCAACACAAACAATCATTTTCATAAAATCTTGCTGACAAAATTTTTGTCTGCAAAAATAGAGGATACGCACTAGCAAAAATTACGAATAAGCAAATTACAATACATTATCTTGGAAATGCGAAGATCTAGATACACCTTATTAAGCAGCATGATTTTTTGTGAGATGCTCCAATTGAAATATACAAAAACCTTACAACTGCAGAGACTGGTAGTCCAAAGTATCAGAAATTCTGATACTTTTGAAATCCTCTATACCTCAAATATCATTAAAACTACAGAGACTGATAGTCGAAAGTATCAGAAATTCTGATACCTTTGAAATCCTCTATACCTCAAATATCATTAAAACTGCAGAGACTGGCAGTCCAAAGTATCAGAAATTCTGATACCTTTGAAATCCCCTATATCTCAAATATACTTAAAACTGCAGAGACTGATAGTCGAAAGTATCAGAAATTCTGATACCTTTGAAATCCTCTATACCTCAAATATCATTAAAACTGCAGAGACTGGTAGTCCAAAGTATCAGAAATTCTGATACCTTTGAAATCCTCTATACCTCAAATATCATTAAAACTACAGAGACTGATAGTCGAAAGTATCAGAAATTATGATACGTTTGAAATCCTCTATACCTCAAATATCATTAAAACTACAGAGACTGATAGTCGAAAGAATCAGAAATTCTGATACCTTTGAAATCCTCTATACCTCAAATATCATTAAAACTGCAGAGACTGGCAGTCCAAAGTATCAGAAATTCTGATACCTTTGAAATCCCCTATATCTCAAATATACTTAAAACTGCAGAGACTGGCAGTCCAAAGTATCAGAAATTCTGATACCTTTGAAATCCTCTATACCTCAAATATCATTAAAACTACACAGACTGATAGTCGAAAGTATCTGAAATTCTGATACCTTTGAAATCCTCTATACCTCAAATATCATTAAAACTGCAGAGACTGGCAGTCCAAAGTATCAGAAATTCTGATACCTTTGAAATCCCCAATATCTCAAATATACTTAAAACTGCAGAGACTGATAGTCGAAATTATCAGAAATTCTGATACCTTTGAAATCCTCTAGACCTCAAATATCATTAAAACTGCAGAGACCGGTAGTCCAAAGTATCAGAAATTCTGATACCTTTGAAATCCTCTATACCTCAAATATCATTAAAACTACAGAGACTGATAGTCGAAAGTATCAGAAATTCTGATACTTTGAAATCCTCTATATGTGAAATATACTAGCTTAAAACTGCAGAGACTGATAGTCCAAAGTATCAGATATTCTGATACTTTTGAAACCCGAAGTGTATTGTGTTTGTTTGGCTGCATGTATATATATATATATATATATATATATATATATATATATATATATATATATATATATATATATATATATATATATATATTTTGT